CCACTGTTCCATTGAGGTGCAGCTCATTATTCATTCATTCTGATATGCTTGCGTCTCACATACTCTGTACGAATTCGGTTATGACTTATGATGTGTGGTTCAGGTTGATTTGTGTATTTGCACATGAAAAATGTCCATGATTCACTGACTTCCAATCACATCAACGTACATCTCAATGAGCTCATAGTAGCGTTCCATATTCAGTCTACAACACTTGTGTGCTTGTGCACTTGCAGTTGTTACTCATGAAATTCATTTGCACTACTGTCTGTAATCGACCAGGAGAATGAAGTTTCACCACAATTATTCCTTCTCAACACAATTGACAAACACATACCAACAGGTCCAACCAATTGTCCGTTATGCACGTCTGAAGTATGTGTGAACATGTCACGTGTTGTGATGGAAAAGTATGTTTCCAGCCCATTTTAGAATAATGCACTAACATTCTTCTTTGTAGCAACCGCATGTAAGGCGAATTAGCTCCAACATCATCCATACAGAGGCATGTTTCAGTTCGCATTCTGGTGAACGACTCTGCATTTAACTCTTCACTCAACTGCAATACGTTTCTGCTCAAACGTTTGTGGATTCAGCCACTCAAACGAAATTCGACTCGTCTCACTGCTGTGCCTAAACATGGTTTAAATCATTGCGCGTATGCCCCTCAATCTTTCCTCATTTCACTGTCCTCCTGTGCCAACTAATACCTGTCTTTTCTGTCAATATTATGATAGTCTATTTTATATATTTTACTTTTTTATGTGAATCTAATGACTATTACTCTTCCGAAAAAAATAGGATTTATTGTACTTCACATTCTCAAGAACATCGATACAAATTCGAGGTACAGCATCTCAACGTATAATAAAAGAAATTTGAAGCCTCCGAATTCAGCAATATTGATTGAAACGTTCACGTTCAAATGAAAATGACCGTAATCTAAGTTGTATGATGAAACGTGTAATGACGACAGGTATGTTAATTTCGAAAACTGCCATTTAACAAAAAGGAAGGTCCAGGAGAGATTAGGTTGGAGAATGCCGTTCTCCGGCCTAAGCGGCATCGATGTGAACAGTTTGTAATAAGGTCACTACTATATTCAGGTTATAACAGCTAGTTAAGCTGGATGATATTGTGATAACATGGGTTATGTGTATTGAAATTTTTTAAAATTGATCGACCATTTTTTGGCAATGTCAAGACCATTATCTAAGTAAAAGATTGCGGTGCTCAATAACAGAAATAAAGAAAAATTGGTTAGCATTAGATCAGAACATATTCCTGTTCGGCAGATACTTTTTTGGAGATGGTGCTGTTTGGTTCGTTGAGCTGGATGTTTTGTTTGTGGAGCTTTCATTGTTCTTCAGAGCAACATCATCAGCACAAACTTCAGATGAATTAATTATCAAGTGTATGGTTACTTTGATCTTTCGATTTCTGTTTCAGAATACTAATTGCGCGCATACATTTAAGTAGTTTGACGAAGTCAAGTCACAAGTTAGATAACGAATGGTCGAACATTATGAAGAACTAAATTTTGACAAAAATGTTGATCTACAGCATGTAGGAAGGTAGGCACAATGATTTCATGCTCTTACGATTGCTCATTGATTGTTGTTTTATCATCCTCGCTTAGGAAGTAACAAGTGAACTTATTTTTGACCTAGTTGCCGAGATCATCTTATAATACAATTTCTCGTTAGTTTTTGAAACCAGTACAAGGTTACAAATGCAACACGTAGATGTGATTGACATGTAAAAGTAATATCAAAATCACTGGTTAGGTACATCCTACTAAAATATGGGGATCTGTCAGCAAGCAAAATATCCTACCTCACTGACATAGTGGATTGAGGTTATTACCCAACAGTAGTGATTACTGCTGCGATACACCACCCTCCCCTTGCCTTTGTGATGCAAGGCTTCTTTACGTTTGTGTTATGTCTTAAATATTTTTCTACTGTGAGCTTTATTATATTCACGCCTCTGCAATACACTGTCTGTATTACCTAAGTGGTAATCTGTTGCAACACATTACATTTCATGCTTGTCATACTATTTGTCATCTTGGTTGTCTATACCGTTTAATAGATCAACGGGTAAAATACTAATATTTCAAGTAGGTAGGCCAACAAATATGATGACTGACAATCTGGAGACCCTTAGTTGAAACTAAATTATATCACGTCAGGCTGTTTCAACGAATTCGAAGTAGAAAAGAGTTAGAAATATTTGTAATTGATTGACTCTACAATACGCAGTAATTCTGACATTTATCAATCACAGTCTACTAAATGCACAACATTATTGAAAGATCGCATCATGTTCAGGTGCATATTGCTCAATCTACTGTTCATATAAACTTATTACCGTAGCTGTTTTTGATGTTTGGTTGTTCGTTTACTCAACATATATCTCATTCGATGTCAGCTTTATTCAGCTGATCAAACACAGTTTGCTTTCCAGTACAACAATTTGTAATTTACCTGCATTATTTGAAACAATTCTGTACAGAGCAACATCTACAGCTGCGAACGTTTACTACGTTTGCTTAAAAATTACACTTGTCATCTAGTTCGTTGGATCACCCCACAAATCTATGTTACTGTCTGTGACAGACATACTGAGGTGTGCCGGCTTAATGCGTGTTCTTACTTTTCGTAATAAGCTCGTTCAGATTGTCTTATCCCAAATGACGTCTGACGGTTAATAAATCAGAAGATGAACTCCAAGTATCGTATACGTTTATTCGAGGCACACCACAAATCGAATTGAAGAAGCGAATAGGAGAAGGCTGTTGAGCCAACTCTTTGAGATAGAACATGACTAAGAATATATAGTCAGATAAAAATAAGACAGACATATGACAAGCGAAATAGGTATGCACACACATGAATAAAAGCGACGAATGATTGACAAGGTCAAAAGCAAGCGATACAAATCATGTGAGTTCATGGGAATATTACGAGATTAACATTAAAGCGAAAAGGATGAGTAAGTGCGTAAGCGTAAGCAATGCTCAGTCGTACAAGCTCATACAAACCAGATAATAAAAAATACCAATGGTACAAATGAGTTGTTGCTATACAAATGTCTTGGTTAAATAAATTAATCGAAAGGGCTTAACCAAGTTAGATGTAAGAGAACTGGAATATATGTGTGGAGGCACTACAATACTAAGTCACAATCATACCCACGCAATGTGTAACCCCTTTTCACATTTACATCCAATCATTTTCAAGAGATATTGAGTTGACTGAATGACAGCCGTTACTTTCATTTGACAAACCATTATGTCTGTATGTAAAAACACAACATATTTTAGGATAGCGAAGGTATATAAACAGCAACAGTAAAAGAATGAAGCAAACATTGTGTATTCCAAATCACTGGGCTGGTTCGAGTTCATCACACATCAAGTAACCATCCGAAAGGATGAACAAAATCGACGGTGGCACACATGTTCTTAAAATCAACAATAGCCAAATACTAATATTTAAAGTAAGTAGGCCAACAAATATGATGACTGACAATCTGAAGACCCTTAGTTGAAACTAAATAATATCACGTCAGGCTGTTTCAACGAATTCGAAGTAGCAAAGAGTTAGAAATATTTGTAAATGATTGACTCTACAATACGCAGTAATTCTGACATTTATCAATCTCAGTCTACTAAATGCACAACATTATGATCGATTGCATCATGTTGAGGTGCATATTGCTCAATCTACTGTTCATATAAACTTACTACCGTAGCTGTTTTTGATGTTTGGTTGTTCGTTTACTCATCATATATCTCTTTCACGCAGAATCGATGTCAGCTTTATTCAACTGATCAAACACAGTCTGCTTTTCAGTACAATAATGTGTAATTTACCTGCATTCTTCGAAAGAATTCTGTAAAGAGCAACATCTACAGCAGCGAACGTTTACTACGTTTGCTTAAAAATTACACTTGTCATCTAGTTGATTCGGTCATCTCACCAATCTTTGTTAATATCTGTGACAGACACCCTCACTCAACCACGCAAATTGTACCCACTTTTCACATTTATATCCAATCATTTTCAAGAGATATTGAGTTGATGAGTGACAGCAGTTACATTCATTTGGTAAACCATTATGTCTGTATGTAAAAACACAACACATTTCATGATAGCAAAAGTATATAAACAGGAACAGTTAAAGAAGAAGCAAACGTTGTGTATTACAAATTACTGGTCAGGTTCGAGTTCATCACACATCAAGTAACTATCCGAAAGATGAACAAAATCGACGGTGTTACAGATGTTCCTAAAATCAACAAGAGTCAACAACGGAGCACCAACAAACAGAAGGCTGTGGTGGAAAATCGTAAGCATGAACATTTAGACTTTTCAACAAATTTTTCACAGAGATATCGAGTACAATGAATCATTCACCAGGGTCACTTGGGAATAATTCTCCGTCAGTCAGTCGTCAATTCCCCAGTGAAGATCTGATAAACTCATACAGAAATAAATCTCGTCTCAACAAATTTATTTCAAGGAGAGTGTTAATTGTGTTGGCGATTGTATTATCCTGTGTTTTGGTAGTATGTCTAACTAACACATTTTATGGACGAAAATATCCATCTGCATCCACACCACCTTTCTGGAAATCAACAGTTGGTTACTGGTTAGATGTTTTTGCATTCAAAGATTCTTCTGGTGATTTAGTCGGCGACCTCAATGGTAATGAATATTAGTGTAAATTGATTGTCACTCAAATTATTCTATTTCTAAAGGTCTCACATCGGAAATTGATTACATCAAAACTGTGATCGGTGCAGGTTATGTGATACTGGGTCCCATCACAAAAGGCTTTTACAACAATTCATTCAATATCCTCGGATTAGTGGAAGACTATGAGCAGTTGGATGAGGCTGTTGGTACAATGGATGACTTTCGTGCCCTTTTGAAACAATTTCATAAGAAAGGTGTTAAAGTGGTACTGACGCTGAACTTTAATGCGATATCACTCAATCATAAGTGGATTAGCGAAAACAAAGTCAAACTGAAGCCATTTGAAGATTCCTTTATGCCTAAGGTGAAATCCATGTCATTTTTAAATAATTTCTTCATATTGTATTTATATAAAGTTCGGACGTTACGCACACCCAAGCTTTGTAAACTTCAGCGAGAGAAAGTTTTATTCTGTATTCGGAGAACCCAATGTCGATCTGGATTTGACTGATCCCGCTACTCTGAAACAGATATTTGTAAGTTTCAGTGAATACGTTTACAAAGTATTTTTTAACAGAATGTGATCGACTCATGGATGAGTGAGGGAATAGATGGAATACTGCTGGATAACGCTGCATATTTTGTCGAAATAAAAGAAAAGGTACAAAGACAGCTAGTCGATGAAATCTTATTGAATGATAACAGTTTTGCTTCCATGTCTACTCTAAATTATTCCTTTACTCTTGCTTTAGATTGATCCAAGTTGCGAATATCTAGACCAATGTTCAAATTCCCAGATGTACACAGACGAAAGCGTAATATTTGTGAAAGCTGTTAAAGGCGAAATAGAAAAGTGGATTAAAAATAGTGGGAAAGATATGTGAGTTTCTTCATGGTCATTATTACAATTTTTGGCAACTGATTGATTGATTTTTGGCAATTAATTCTAATAAGTGGATGATTGTACGTAGATCAGGGAAAAATTTGCAAAATCTACTAATACTGCTACAACTTGTTGACAGTTTAAAATGAATAAAAATTTTTCTGTTGTTCCGATCAGAAGCATGTCGTTGCCCCGTCCATATGAAGAAGTCATGATTAGGAGTAGAAAGTGTATTCCATAAACAGCCAGAAAATGTAATACTGTCAAGCATGCAAATCGCGTTTAACCAAACATCGTAAACACGTTCTTGTAAGAGCCACAAAAATAACATACAAAAGTGACACACCGATCAATAACAGTCACGGATTTTTCTGGTGAGAATTGTAATCTCAAGATTAACTGGTCAGTCCATGGAGAAAAGTCAGAATTAGGACCTTTATCAACAGAGTTCATTGGATCAAACGTACCCAACATTTTTGCATTGTCTGTGGTGAGCAATTGTGTCGTATCATAGCTCATACCAAATCGAACTCATTTTATTGAAGCTCCTCACCGGTAAACACATGATAGGTATTTTCCAAAACGAGGAATAATAAGTTGTCCGTTTTCTGATATCCACATTGAGGTCAATGAACGATACAGGTCTTGCGCAACAACTACGATAGAAGAATTCTTTACTTTAGTCGGTGCACCAAGATTATAATTGACTGAATTTTAAAGTCTATGAAAATTTCCTCAAACACACACATTTTTCTGTATATTCAATTTCTTTTCCAGATTGTTGGCTGTAAACTCAGGTGATACATTTTGCGGTGTTGGTGATGATCCGGATCCAATGTTGATGTTTAGAGATGTGGTTGATTTGATAGTAAGTCGTGAATTGTTGCGCGACAGAGGTGGAATGTGTCGTGGAATTTCTGTTGGCAAAACAAACATAGAGAAGTTTTCGTTATATTTAGACTCTGATCAGGAGAAACTAGGGTTGACGACAGCAACTTCAGATAAGCCATCAGAACCAAATATTATTCGGCTTGCGTCAACATTATTATCATCAGGTATGTAAATTATATTATTATCATCCAAACAATTCATCATGTCAATGAGCACATCCTTTTCACAGTTTTGAATTCGTTTCCACATTCAAAGTAAAAATTCTTCATATCGCCATCAATCTCAGAATGCTCATTCATAATCGTGTGATACTTCACAACAGAATTGGTCGTAAACGTCTGAGTTTGACTCGATATTGTATCAAGTGTTATTATTATTATTTCATCATGACATAAAATAGGAAGTTGTCGACTTCTTACCTTTCGTCAGTCAACAAAAGAATTACTTATGGAATGGATTTCACTTTACTGAACTGTCATACAGTATGGTTTTTCTAATTTTTGATCACATCTTTAGGTGCACCAATAATTTATTATGGAACTGAGATTGGTATCCGCATCAGGAAACCTTCGCACACTCAGAAATATATTTATCCAAAAGAAAAGCCTTACAATAACATTGCAGGATATGGTGCTCTAAACTCTCATTTCCTAATGCCATGGGATTCAACTGGAAGGAGGTTTTCACCAACAATAAATGATCCCAGGTTAAGCAAGTTTTTCAATTATTATGAACACTTGTCTTCCGTTGAAGTAAGTTATATATCAGTGACTTCGAGGCCTTTGTTCTTTCACTACTCGTTTCCATTATCTGCCAAAAGTTTCATTTATTTCAGTTTTTTTCATCCAGTACAGAAGTCACTTAAAATGTGTCTATCATTTGCACAGGTATACTGTATCAAACATCCTATACTCTCAAGTAAATCACATAACGCTGAAGTAAACAGAGTGTTGTAAATTGATAAACTGTTTAGTATTTGAACATTCATTGCGCCGTTAATTTCTTTGGCTGGCAAAAATGAAGTTACTATCAATTATGTCAGCATCGGACTTATCTTACTTTCATCTCTAATGAACGAATGAAAAATGTTCATAGTATTCAAGGTCTACTCAGTATTACAATATTTCGGATGTCCAATTTACACTGTACCACAGCCCTTCTGTAAGGATGTGCATGCAGTTTGTGACCTCGTCCCACAAAATGTTTATTCGCTGAAAAAAGCTAATCAGAAAACATAATTCAAACCGTTTTACCTCTACCCTGGTAGTTAGAATGTCCTCCTTCATAAGAATTATGACCTCTCATGAGAAAAGCCGAGTTCCCTCGATAGTCACGAAGCCGATGCTACTTCTGACATCTAGAGCAACCATATTTTTAGGTACATGGAAAGTTCGAACATTGTGTGAGACTGAAAGACTATTTCAATTTGCTGCAGAAATAAGAAGATTCAACCTGGAGGTGCTTGGTATCAGCGGAACGCATAGGACACAGGTAGGATACCTGATACTAGCGTCGAGGGGAACTGCCTTTATACTCTCCTCACGAAGATGAAAATGTTTCACATACACAGGAAAATACACTGATGCTGTCCGAACAAAAGGCACTTGTAGCATGGGAATCTTGTGGACACAGGACCACTAAAGCAGCCCTCAAAACAGACAAAGAAGACAATACAATGAACGTCATCCAGTGCCATGGGACTGCCAATGATCAATTATTCGAAAGGCTGCAATCAAAAGTCGACATTTGTTCACCAAAAGATTTGACGGTTCTAATGGTAGACCCTAATGTCAAGGTGAGCATAGGCATCACCGGATATCAATACATCATAGGACGACACGGACTAAGAGAAAAGAACGAAAACGATGACAGATTTGCAAGCCTATTTACCTCCAACAAATTGGTCATCGGTGGCGCAATCTTCTCACACAAGCGCATACACAAATCCACATGAATCGACCAGTTCGACTGAACTCACCCAACACCAAGGTAAAAACCATTGGCCTCTCAGTCGATGATGGCCCACCAACAGTTGGAGAGATCAGCATGGCCATAAGACAAATCCAGAGCGATGAGTCTGCGGGACCGAAAAACCTCAACCAGAGGCCACGAAAGCAGACGTGACAGAAACAGCGAACATATTTCACATTCTCTTTGCGATGAAGAACAAGTATTAACAGTGTGCAAAGAAAGAAACCTGATCAACATACCAAAGAACGGAGATACAGCAAGTATGAGAACCTCGTAAGCATCACTCCTCTCTAAATACCAGGCGACGTCTTCAACAGAGTATTATTACACAAAATGAATGACTTTGAGATCAACAGGCTGGATTCCGTCAAGATCGTGTACTGAACGAATTGTAACATCAAGGATCATTGTGAAGAGATCAATCTCATGCAACTTCATCACTCTACATCAGCTTCATTGAGAAATGGAAAGCATTTGATAGCATGAAAATGACAACACTATGGGGGAGTTGTCGAAGCCACATTACATCGAGAAATAGAGAAAGATATGAGAAGAACGAACGACATTTAGACAGAACTGAAAAAGGAAGCTCCGGACAAAGTAGGGTGAACGACACTGTTGTGTGGCCAATGCTTTGTTGAAAATAACAGGCGTAAGTGAGAAATGTTTACACTGTACAGTGTAGAACGTCTTCAGTAAACCACAGATAAATGATCTTTGATCAATTTCACAATACATATTCAATAAAATGAACTGAATACATCGCACTGAAAATTTCCAAGAAATGACATTTGAATTCACATTACCAAAGCCATCTCAATTACTATAACGATAAACCTTGATGATCCAATGCTGATGATTGTAAGATCAGCAGAATGAGACAAACAAATTTTATTTCTGATTTCAGCGTGTTATCATGAATAAATTTACAAAGAAAACGGCTTAGACGTCAATCCTTTTGATTTATCACTTCAGTAAATGTACTTCCGTAATAGTTGACGCGCAAAAGTTTTGTTCGGCATTAAATAAGCTTCCGAAGTTCCATGAACACACTCACTGGAAAGAGCATGCCATAAGGTCTACAAAAGTGCTTCAGTTGTATTTTTTAGGAGTTGTACGAACAGATTTACAAATCATATTGAATACCACATTTCTCTCTTTTTGAAGACTCAACTTGCTGAAGGAAATGATCAATCCACACTTCGTCTCGTTATGAAATTGGTGGCTCTACGTCAGAAACCTAGTATGGAAAGGGGAACAATGGAGCGGATAAACCTTCCTAAAGTGAGTAATTTCAAAGTTTAAAGATCAAAACCATTTCTCTTTCTGAACAGTTTTAGCAGTCGAATACCTTGAGTTTATGGTTATATCCAAAATATAATATCATGCTATTCATTGACTATCAATTTCCTGAACAAATAGCCATTGTCTGTTCGCTCATTTTGTTTCGGCATAACGAATTTTCGCAATCAAACACGCATGTATTCAATTATCTCACGTGGTCAAATGGTGAACAAATAAGGAGATATCACTTTCAGTTATTCATTCATCATTCACCATTACTTTTCAAACTGAGCTCTTGAAGCAACAAAATCTATTTTTACTCTTCATCACATATAAATAATAGACTTGTATTCATCGTATGCCAGTACTTTCAACAACATTGTCAGTGCGTTGAGCCTGGAAGCTACTTGGAACACAGTTTGTTTATAATAAGAGGGCGATACAAACCTCATGGTTAGTTAATTAGTTTATACTGTTTATTGGATTGATGAAGAGTCTCTGAATGGAGAACACCTCATTTTTCATGAAGATCAAACATCTATATGTATGTGTAAGCAATTTGGAAGCGAAACGTGAAGTCGAATGAAGTACGCGCAAAATCTATTCGGCACTCTAATAAATCCACTGTTTCATTGATTCCATTTCAGGGAACTGCGATACAGATTGAAGGATTTTTACGAAAGGCCGAAGGATTTCCCTCATTCTTCGTGGTGTTGTTAGAGAAATTAAGAGGCAGTTATTCCTTCGATCTTACTACTGTTTGTTCTTCGGCTACACCGAAAATAATTTATCCTTCACATCCACTAGTGTCAGTCGACAATCCCTTATCAACTTCAATAGTAAACATTGAAGACCAAACCGATTCAGATCACATTTACGTATTTGAATGCAAATGAATAAATCACCAAACTCCGAACTTACCCCAATCAATATTCAATCATGACTTCAGTCTGACAACTATTTTTCCTTTGCACTTCTATTGATATTTGTATTTCTCTTTCCATATTTATTATGTTAGTTGACTGATTTTCATTTAAAATTGTTTGCAGTGTGTAACCAGTTTATTGTTTTGCTTAACTATAATCAATCTCGTCATGCGTATATTTGCGACCAGAAAGTGGGAGAGCAGTGTTTGTTGGATATCGAAATATTTATATCCATGTGTGTTGATATGTGTATTCTGACATGCACAATGCTAAAATATTAGCCCAAGAATATACTATACTCCTACTGATCAAGTAGGAATGACCGAATCGCTGCTGCAAATTGAACTCGTCCTTCGGTTAGCGAACGGATATCTCGACTAATCCATAAGTGACGCAAGTTGGCAAACGCCAGTCGAACTTATGCATCCGTGTTGTGATTTCCTCACACAGCAGGTAATCAGTACTAATGATAATCCTGAGATGAGTGAAGTGGTCAACATGCTCAACCGTGTCACTCCAAATTAGTACTTCATGTGCCGACGCAAGTCATGCTTGTAGAAATATTTTCCGATTAGCGAGAAGAAATAGCGACTTGAATAGGCTCGTTTTGTTGCTTAGAGTGGTCAGGACACCCAGCATTTTTTCAGTGTCTTCACCAAAAAGAACTATGTCATAAGCATATTCTAGGTCAATAAGTGTGTCTCATTGAACACGGTGGATAAATTAACGAATAGTTAATTCGGAAAAGTACGATTCAAGTTTCATTCTAACCACATTCCCTTCAATAAATTCAAGTTAGCAACTGATCTCCGAAGATCAAAATAAATGCGCAAAACAGATTTATCGTTCATTGGTTTATTCAATGTCAATAAGTTGTCGACTGATGTTTCCTAAGGTGGTCAGTAGTATGAACATGGTATTCGACGTTGATAACTATTGTAGACACTTGACATAAACATTTTCCAATTCAGTAGTAATGTCCTCAGGTTCACTAGGATACTCATGGAATTCCTACGGCATTCGGTTCCTATTTATTGGTATAAATGTGCAATTGAGTGAGTCAAAAAACTGCGCCAGTACGTGTGTGAAAACGATGAACGTCGTCAGTGAGAAGAAAGCTGAATAACGAGAAACCTGAAGCACTGGCATCTGTGTTCACACCTATCACTTGCAGTATGCTTTAAAGTTAATTAATTTCACTTCATTTGGATACAAGGAGCAACTTTTTGAATAGCAATACTCACATTACGCACCTACTTCCGTTTGTGTTATTCTGAGCTGGACGATGCAGTCTCACAACAGTTACTAGGTTAATAATTATCAGAGAATTGCTACGGACTAATTATATTGGCGCTTTTGTTTGTTTACTACAGAAAATATTCTCACTTCATTTCCTCTTTGTAATCTTGCACGATCAATACATTTATTAGATTATGAAAACATGAACGTGGGTGCACAGTTAGGTAAACCGTTCTTACGTAAATTGCGGTTGACTTAAGACTACCATGACGCAATCCCTGATTGACGAGGATCAAGACGACATCATTCGATGTGTCGGATCAGTGCTATTAGAATATAGGATACTACTTTTTGGCTGTGATCACTTTCACTTGACGAGTTTTGTTATGCTGCTCATATATATCACATGTAATTCATGTTTGTTTAACTTTCATCACTTCCGATCGTCAACAGAAATTCGGTACAAACAAATTTTGAGTGACATTTAAAGTGATAATCGCCGAGACCACATACATGCAGTTACAGAAACAGCAGCAGCAGAAGAGAAAAAAACAAGCCTTCAAACGTAGTCAGCACAGATGAAATCAGGATGAAATTCGTCAGTGTGAACATGAACGGCGAGAGTAGAATGTTCCCTCGGACACCACTTGAAGTACCTTAGTCCGATGACAGTCCTCCTTAGACTCTTACTCGAGCACTGACATTTGAGTAAAGAGCCTGTATGTGGTTAATGCACTTCACTGAAACACATTTTATTGATAGATACTGTCACAGAATCTCACGATCGATGGAGTCGAGTGCCGCTTTTAGTTGGGAGATACTACTGCTGCGAGGCGTGTGAACGCGTGTCTTCGTTCCAGGACATGACGTAGTGTGATTATTTGGTTATAATATTCAAGTCCAGGATGAAAACCAGCGTAGCTTTCTCTGGTCTGCTTTTCAAGATGTCTATTTAGGCGTTGATTTATTACTGAGTCCAATTTTTTCGATACAATATTAGTTAGACTTGTTCCTCTGTGATTGTAACAAGAAGACATTTGTCTTTTCTTGTGTTTTTGGACATCAGTGATTGAGAGCAGTCATATGGGATTATGTGCAGTTCCCAAATTTTATCTAAGATCTCAGTCAGTCTAACTGCTAGTAGTGAACCCGAAAGCTTTTTCAGAAATCGTCTGTCCCATCGTCTGATCTCCAGTTGGTGTGAGCGTAGGCAGATACGACGAATAGGCAACGGTGAGGTTTCCAAACTTTCAGAGTCCTCACAAGCGACTATTTACTGTGTTCCCCTGTCTCTCCGAATCCTTACTGTCCTGTTCAGTCGGACAGTGCACAACCGACTATGTACAGGTATCCATTTTAAGGGAGCTAGTTCTGCCCTATGACCTAATGCTATACCTACACTAGCGAGACATCGGTAAGCAGCCTCAGGCTTTCAGATGAACAAAGTGTAAGTCCAGTCGCTTCCTCATTTCGACAAGGTGAAATCAAATTATTGATTTTACTAAGAACCTGTATGCGCGTTTCCGAGACGCAGCCTACATTGATTGTGCGAGATTCTAAATTCCCAGCTAGAGAGTTTTGTTGTCCTATTTGACACAATTTTCGGACAGTAAGGGCTCTAATATGTACTCTAGAACGGGGTTTTAGTAGACCTGAAATGACATTTCGTGAGCAGATTAGTAAGTTGTTACGGCGTGTGGGAAGGATTTGATTGTGACCAATTCGATCTGGTCTGTGGTAACGGGTATGAGGGCATATGTCGACAGCCAGCTGTCCATACCCTGGAAGGGACAAGTGTTCGAGGCCGGTCACACATGACCTTTTTATGAAAGGTTTTACCAGCAACAGTTTATCTATTTTACAAGTTCCTTACCAAACGAGATGGAAATCGGTGAGGTAAGGTTAGGAGTGACACTTTTAGGATCCCACTTTCCCAACCTCTTTCTTCCTTGTTAGAAGGCAGCATTGCAGCATATGTTGGTCGTCCGAGGGAACTCTCTTCATGCTTATTTGAGAGACAAATAAACATTCTCTTTCACTGTTGTATTCATGATGAAGTAGTCAATGTAGCAACAAGCATATACGGCGTTTAGATCTTGAGCATTCACACATCATTACGGTAATCTCGCTCTTTTCAGGATGATGAACAGAATAATGTGTATGAAATATGATGATTCACATTTCAGACAGTTGTTACCTAACTAATCTATCGTTTCAGTAGATTATATGTTATTTCAACAACATACAAATGACATGTAACATAGACAAAATTACTCAGAATTGCATGTTCGTTCGACCCAAATAGTTGTTTCTGAACATCTCATTTAAAAAACGACTGTATCGTATTTCTTTCCAGACCAGAAACTTTCACACACATGTGATGACAGTTCTACTGGACGTGTTGGAAACTTGTAAAACAATAAAGGGTATCATCCAGAAGACACAAGTGTCTATTAGGAGTTGTTCACGCAAAATACTTCAGACCCACTGGTCAGACACCTTTAGCGACAAACTACGGTGTGAGAGGACAAAGCATATGCAGCTAAGAAAAAGATTGGGAAGAAGCACTCGAATTCAATAGGAAACACATTCATGCATGCATCCGACTGGATCACAAGACAAGCCGTTACTCAGGATCCTCAAAGCCGAAAGAAAAGTGAAACACCAGAAAACACAGAACACTGAGGATCGGAAAGGGATATGAGAAAAATTAAGAACATTTGAACAGAACTAGAAAGCAAGGCTCAGGACTGAGTAGGTTAGACAATCATGGTCGACGGCCTATTGTTCATTGACAGAAACAATTGTTAGTATGTACGATACTTCAACATCGTCAACTTCATGTAGAATGTATGAGTCATCGAAGCGAAGTATATCAAATTGAATTTTAGTTAATTTCGTGTCTAAATTAAGTATGAAGTAAACTTATCCAATAAATATCTTTTATAATTTCGTGATATTAATCATAATAATTTTTTGGAAAAATACTTGAATCGATCTTCTAAAAATCTGGTCATTGTAATTCAGAAAAACAATCAAAATTTGCAGAGATAACATTCATGATTCTATCTGTCAATCCATGTGTTCATTCATAGATTTATTGAAAAGATGGTAAACGATATTTTACAGCTTCTTCACGAATATTCTCTGACTCAATTATTCCTCGACCGACGACCAATATCATCGAGCATGATGGTGATGATGTTGGTGAAGTGGTCGGTGTAAATCGTTTCTTCAACTGTTCTGGTGTATTGAAATTTTGACCTAAATCATCAGTGGAATTCACAAGTCTTATACCTGTTCAAAAGAGAAATTAGAATAAATGACTTTTGTAGACGATGTTTGTCATGGAAGTATCATTATGAAACAGAAAAGAAATAGAGATAGTTTTTGTTTTCGAGTGTGAACTCATGATCAGTGACATCTGTCGTTGTGTAGAGTGAAATGGTCATCATCCCTATGACACTAAATGATCTCAACATGACATATTGTGAACGGATTGTAGTCTGAAATGTTGATAATCAGATTTCAGCTAAGTGGTATACAGGTTGAGTGTTTGATGGTGAGTAAGCGATTCCATATGTATTTACAAACATTGCTTAACTCAAATTCGCTGGCATCAAAGTACGTTTAAAAATATCTAGCAACTTTTATATGAAGACACAATATCAACCCATGACTATTGGATTTGGTCGTGTAGGTAGATGTAAACTACATGATTGGAGCTGTCATATTTATCATAAACAATCATCGAAGACGTTATACAACATCAAACGGGTGATTTTTCTCATTGTCACGAAATATTCATACGTTTATTTCACTGATGATAACTCCGCCTCTGTGATTCTGGTGGTAGTCTTCATATTTTCATCTTTCTCTGTGCTGATGAACCAATGCACGAGTGTGTCAGGTTTCATGTTGCTTATGACCGACGGAATAGTACGTCAACAGTAGTTGATTGGTGATGAAGGCCTTCTAAATAGAAGGCTGAAATTGATTTTCCCTAATACACAACTGACAAGTAAACCAAATGAACAACTCAATAGACAGAATAAACAGCTTTTGAACATTTTAAAATAATAACTAAACGCTCAGTTTTATTTCACTGAATTCATAAATAAATCATCCGTAAACCTGAAAGCACATTATTTCCGTTTTGTTCTGTGTGTGGACTCACCACTCGTGCGCATCCATCACTGCCGCTGTCATTAATCGAACACAGAATCTTCGAACTCATCCAATATCCAATATCTTTTTCACGAGCTTGTGTAAACCAATTTGATTTCTTCGCGCTCGATTCTCGTTATTTCGGTACTGTTCCAGGTGCTCGATAATGTCAAATGAATGGAGGTCTAGACACTCGACTGTATAATTCTAGTCAGTTGGCAGTTGGTTGTGAGTTTGTATGTCGCGGGATTTGAATGAAACGTTTGTTTCAGGGCAGTAGGGATTCTGGATACTAGCAGCCGTCAGATCAGTTAGTGGCAATGTGCAGAGTAATAAGGGTAATAAAGATAAATTAAAATGATAATATGAATAGAATTTCAAAACTGAGTAATATATAGATGAATAAAGTTTAATAATTGGTAGTGAAGATTGTAAGTGAGGACCGAAGTGTAAGCAAGGAATAGGAATAAGCGAGATAGAGTAATTGAGTGATCTGAGAAGATGGCAATGGTAACAACTAGCAGATCTCAAGATATGCATAATGAACAGCTTGTCCAAGAGGGAGATGATAGTCCGTATGTGAGTACGTGATTATCAAGTCTCTTCTTAAGGCAGTCCACTGAAGGGGCTGTAACTACCTCGGCTGGGAGAGCATTCCAAGTTGCGACGACTCACAATGAGTAAAGGTGTGCACGAGTCTGAGTATTCGCTGTTTGATGTGCAATCTTTCTAGGATTGCACACATTGGGATGGTTTGGCGTGTTTACTATTGTGTACGCCTCTGATTCTCCTGTAGCTCAGTGGGAATAATCCAAAGAGCTGGAGTCTATCCTCTTGGGGTTTATTTTACAACCGTATCACTCATTTGGTTGCTCGTCTTAAACAGGGTTAAAAATAATTTCAGGGTGATAGCACCAAGCTGTCTTCGCATAAAGTGAAGAGTCGCATTTGCCTTGGCTGCATCCCCTACATAGTTCGTACTCGTGTGGAGGCTTTCTGTGGTTATTGAACCAAGATCGCGCTCTAAGGAGACATTAGGGAGCGGACTTCCATTCAGAGTATAGGTGGTTTGCGTCATATGAGGCTGGAAATGCATGACGTGGCACTTCGGTTGGTTGAGTTTTAAACCGTTTTTCACTGCCCATTTCTCAATGGATGTAAGGTCCTTTTGAAGCTCAGTCGAATCCTCTTCGCTTCTAATGGACCTCCAGATAGTCGCATCGGCTACGTAGATCAGTGCCGGTGAGCTCACTCAGCCTAGGAGGTCGTTAAAAAATATCAGTAAGAGGAGTGGGCCTATGATGGTCCCCTGTGAAACTCCTGAAGTGGATACTCTCCAACTCGCGTGCACCCTGTTTACCTTGGTGCGAAACTTTCTGTTCTCACGGTAGTTTCTGAGCCAAGATGCGAGTGGGTCAGTGAAGCCCATTCTCACAACCTTTTCGATTAGGCGTGCGTGGGGCACCGTGTCAAAGGCTTTTGCGAAGTCGAGAAATACTACGTGCACTGGTATTTTACGGTCCAAGCAGGATGTCTAACTGTCCGATGCGATGAGAAGATTAGATGCACACGACCTGCCTTTCCGAAACCTGTGTTGAGCTTCATGGAGTATTTTATTCTTATCCATGTACTCCCTCATTTGTTCGTCCACTAGTCCTTCCATAACCTTTGACAATATAGGTAGTAGTGCGACTGGTCTGTAACAGGCTGGGTCCTTTCTATCTCCTCCTTTGACGATTGGAGAGAGAGAAGCTTGTTTCCATTCCGCTGGGAATTGGTGTGACTCCAGTGAATGCCCGAACAAGTTGCATAACGGTGAACAGAGGGCTTCAGCGCACTGTTGCAAGACTATAGGGCGGATTTGGTCACAACCTGGTGACTTACCTGGGCGTAAGGATATTAGTTTCCTTAATACTAGGTCAGGAGTGATACGGATGTTCCCTTAGCCGTCAGCTGGCATTGGGTTGGCCTAATCCTCTGAACATGTAGGCGCCTAGTTTAATTGATCGGAAACATGGGTGTTGAAGATCTCGGCCATCTCTAGGTTGGTGAGGTCTTCTCCGTTAGGCCTTTTTGGGGAACACAACCCTTGATTAGTAGGTTTTCTTTTGGACGTGAACCTAAACATATGTTTCGTGTTTGCCTCTATTCTGGTGGCTAGCTTCGTCTGGAATTGTCTCCTGTCGCTTCGAACTTTGTTATAGCATCTGTTTCTCAATGCCAAGTAAGAACTGCGATCGGAATCCTTCAAAAACACCTTCCACTTGTTCAAGGCTTTCCTATTCGCCTTTAGCAAGCATTCCGTGCCGCGCCTAACCCAGGTTCTTCTGTTCTGGCGTTTCGGGTGTGATTGAGTTTCGTTGTCTACGACAGCGTTTTGAAAGATATCTCTAACTGCTTGCCAGTGATCATCTCCTCTCAGCCTTCACCACCCCCGTGGCCATGGAGCACGTAGGAGCACCTCTCTCATGCGTGTGTAGTTTGCCCTACTGTAGCAAAGGTAAGGTTCGTTGTCGTCCGGTGTCAGCCTTTCGTTTGTGACCATGTTAAACAGGACTATGCCATGGTCACTACTATCTGTTGGAGCGTGGACGTGAACATCCTCAACCAGCAGCTGGTCATTCGTTAACAGATAATCTAGGTTTGTGGACTTCCCTTCCTTAGTCCTCCTAGTGACACTGCATACGTGCTCAATCAGCCCAGAGCTTCTAATGACTTTACCAAGTTGTCTTTGGAACTAACCAGTGGGAGTTATACACTGATTGCTGAGATTCAAAGATGGGGTATTGAAATATCCGGCTAGGAGTATTTGATCAAACCATAGGAGTGGCAGTTGCAGTATTACCTCAATCAGTTTGCTTTTCTGCGCCCTAGTACCCGAAGGAGGTCGGTAGATCCCTCCAATCAAGTATTTCGTGCCATTCGAGTGGAGACAACACCAACATGATTCTGTCACCTTAGTTAGTTGGGTGTCGTATAGTCACTCTGCTTTTAAGTTGCTATATATATATATATATATATATATATATATATATATATATATATATCGTCACTCCACCTCCAGTTTGGTGTTTCCTATCGCTTCGGAAGAGTGTCATGCCTGGTAAGCCCACTTCTGCGTCTGCAATGTCAGGGGATAGCCATGTTTCTGTTAGGATTATGATCTTCAGATCCATCTGAGAGCACTTACTCCTGATTTCTAACAGCTCACCCCTTAGTCCTCTCACGTTGCTATAGAGGCACTTGGTGGTTTGCCTAAGCACCTAGTGCACATTTCCAGCAGCAGCCTTTGTCGGATTTTCATACAAGTAATTTAAACCGAATCGGTCAGTTCTGTGGGAACTGGCCTCTGCAGGTTTTTGCCTGCGCGGTTGGTTCACACATATCTTGTGCCAGAGGTAGTTGACCGATTTAAACTATCAGTTGTGTGCGTTTATTTTGGCCTCCTTGTTGTTGTCGCACAAATCTAGGTCGGCTCTTACAACATCTGATGTTGCTAGGTAGATCGTTCTTCGAACTGTACCAAGCTTGTATTGTTTCGGTCAGTTCTTCCCGGTTCCTAAGTGTTATAGCCATCAGGCTTGGTGACTTGATAGACGTAAGGTGTGACGGGCGGGGCAACCTGGAAATGCAGACTGCCATCGTGATATGGAGGGATAGGCTACGCGATAGCCATCTTCACTATTGCACATCGTGCTCGTGAGCTCCGTCCGGGTTACCACTGGTGAGTTCGGGTATACCGTGAACTACCATTGTGGTCTGTTCTTAGGTGTTTGGCGCAGTTCTGGCTGCTGAACGTAGCGACCACGGCTTCTGATGCCTGATAAGAATCAGCGAGGACAATTTGACCGATGGTCTTTGGGATGAAAGGATTATGTCTTCAGCAAGTCGTGCCGATTCAAGAGTTACCCTCATTGGAGGGGGTTTTCCTTTCGAGACATTTTGGCCTTTGAAAAGGCGGCATATTTTGGCTGGGACCTCGCACATTCCGAGGGTTGAGCAGGGTTTATCCCATTGCTCTTTGTCGAAGGCAGCCCTATCTTCTAGCAAGCTTCCTTCCGACACGGGGACATTAAATAAGATAAGTGAGTTTGATCTGTTGACCCTGGTCTTGGGACGTTCACCCATTG